ACAGGGGCCGCCTCGGGGACCTGGCCCGCGTGTCCACCCACAAGGCGGGCAGAGAAGACGTGCGGCCGCACAGCACCGAGCGCGGGTCGGCCAGAGGAAAGCGGGCGCGTCCGGAGACCTGAACTCAAGGGACGTAGGTTAGTCGCCAGAAAGTCAGATACGGCGCAGTAGCTCTGGTGCGGGAGACCCAAATACAGACGGTTTAAAGAGCAAGACAGAGAGCCGAGTTCGAGACAGGGAAGCCGTCTCGGAGGAGGTGGGAAGAGACTAGGGAAGAGGGGAAGTGGGGAAGCAAACGCGGAGGCTGATAGCATCCTGCAGAGAAGGCCAGGCTGACGCGAGCCGGCGGCCGAGCTCCCCAGGCAGGAGCAGCGGCGGGCCGGGCCACGGGGGTGAACCGGCGTCGTCAGGCCGCAGACCAGGAGCGCCAGGTGTGACCGGGAGTCGGCAGGGGCGGGAAATGCAGGGGCTGCTTTGCAAAGGACGTTAATTTTACCCCACGGAGGTGTCAGGATGGCTCTGAAGAGGGCTGTGACATGGGAGGACGGCATAATCCGGCGTGGTGTCAAGTGGGGGACAATGACCGAAGAAGAGGGATTGAGATGCGGTGGAGACTTTCTCAGCACGCTGGGCTTGAACGCCTGGGTTCAAATCATTCTCCTGCCTCAGCCTCCCAAGTAGGAGGGACTAGAGACAGTGATCTGGTAACCAAGTATGGACAAGAAGGAGGGTGTGCAGGCCTCTCTCTCACTCAGAAAGGGTGGTCCTGGGAACAGCTGAGAAGAGAGGACTGGGGATTGGTTTGCAGGTGGTAGAGCGTATGATTGAGAAATCAGCTTTCTAAAAGAGTTCTCAAGTAGCCAGCTCGTTTGCGTTCATAATGGATCTTATAAACCACATGCTCGCACACACACCCTAAAATAATAAATTGGATGCCCCCCTTCTTCCCCACGGTAATGGGTTGAGCACGGGGCCTTCACATCAACCTGCATCCCCAGCCCTTTTTTAAGACATGGTATCCATAAGTTGCTGAGATCCAGGCTGAACCAGCACTTCTGCACCTCCTGCCTCAGCCTCCCAGGGTGCTGGGATTACAAGCGTGGACCACCATGCCTGGCAAGATTCCTTTAAATAGTAGCACTGAAACGTGGAACTTCAAATTAGTTGACTGACCTTTTGTTTATTTTGAGACAGGCGTTTGCTAAGTTGCTGAGGTCACCGTCCAGCCTCAGCCTTGGGAGGAGCTGCGATTACGGGTGTGCACCGCGGCCCCAGGCTTGGAAGTCCTATTGTAGTTGGAGGAGGGCGGTGCTCCCGCCTCCACAGTTCTAACACTGATCACCTCACTGCGTTTTTAGAGAGAAAAACACTGTAGAGAAGTGCTTTGCCCTGGCGTGAGAGCTGGTAACCGAATAGGCAATGTGTCCCCCAGTCCCAGGGCAGCCAGAGTACTTTGAAGTGGGAACTTCACTCACTGCAGGAGGAGCTGGGTGTGAGAGGGAGGGAGGCTGGAGACCTGGGAGAGACCTCTGAGGGGATCCGTACAGAACATGTTCAGGGGCAAGTGGTCTCTAATCACATTGCTTTAATCAAAGGGGAACCACGGTAATTGGAGACCCAGGGAAACTGCAACCTATTATGAAACTCCGTAATGCCTTTTAACTCTAGGAAGAGCTTGCTATCTGCCTCCGGTCCTGCCCTGGGGATGCTACGGACTCAGCTCAGGGTAACTAGTTTGCAAACATCCAGGGGACCCACCAGCAGAAATGTTTAAAACCAATCAGAAAGGAAGACATATTTTATAAACTCGCAATGATAACATTTTTTGGAGCGTGGTTTTTGTTGTTGTTGTTTTGGTGTTTTGAGACTGGGTCTCACTGTGCAGGTCAGGCTGGCCTTGAACTCACTACGTAGCCCAGGCTGGGCTTGAACTTGCAGTGAGCCTCCTGCCTCAGCCTCCCGAGTGCTGGGATCACAAGTGTGTGCCACCACGCCCAGCTTGATTCTTTATCTGTCTGTACATTATCCAAATAACCTAGCTGCTGTCCTAGATGATGCCCTCACTGAAGACCCAGACTATCATCACCATCCTTACTACGTTTGCCAACCGCTCGTCCTGGTCGGGTGAGTGAGCTGTCTTGAGTACCGGAGCCTGCCATCTATTAAGAAAGCGAAAGACATTTAATCACCTACATACACTCTCTAGATTGCTGGTGTTTGCTTATAAACCCTTGCAAATGTTTGCGACCAAGAGCAACTCTTAGCCTTAAAACTGCAAAGGAGACCTGTTTAACAAATGCAGGCGAGGGGCCAGGTGCAGAAACGACCGAAAGGTCGCCGTGTGCAGGGCACAGGAGGCCCAGCGGCGAGCACCGGGGTTCCTGTGTGCCCCGTACCCTTTATCTCTCTCCTCCAGACTGTACAGCCGGCTGGCCCTGGACAAACAGCATACAACCTCTTTATGGCTCTGCCCTTGTGTGCTTTAGTCTAGTCTCCTTCACAAGGACAGCGTGGTTCCGCGCGCTGTGGAGGGGCGGCGGGCTCTGCCTGTGAGGGCCTGCGGGGAGTAGCTCGGGAGAATCGCCCATTCCCTTAACTCGTGTTTATTGCTCTCGCCTGCTGTGTGCCAGGCGGGGTGCACCGTGTTACACAGTAGTGAGCCCCCAGGGCCCCCGACTTCCGGGGAGAGCACAACAAAAGGATGAATAAACACAGTGCGGGCAAGGCTAGGTGGTCTGCGGAGGAATGCTGCAAACAGGGAGAAGAAGAGCTGATAATTCGGGTTGGGGCGCGGGAGGTGGAGGTGACAGCGGGGACCTGGGTGGAGGAAATGCAGCCCTGGGGTTTTCTGGGTTTCCTCTGGGTGTTATCTGCCAGCAGTGCAAATGTCACCTGGATGAGACAAAAGGACACAGGTTGGGGGCCTGGCTCCGCCCTCTGCTTACAACTCCCCCTTGACAATAGGGTGACGCTTTTAGATCAGACCAAAGCCTCTTGCATTCATATAGAAAGTTAGTGGGAAGCTTTTACTGTCTCCAAACTGTTTCATCAGAACAAACACTTCCAGCACACAGCAGGCCGACAGGCCCTACTGAAGAGATGGCAGGCAGAATTTATAAGTGGCCCCCGCAGGAAGCAGCCTCAGGGTGGCTCCTAGCTGGTCCTGTACGCGGAGAAGCCTTGCTCTGGTTTGTAGTTGGCTGTCTTTTGCGGCCTCAACTAATGTGAAGCTCTCCTTTAATAATTACCCCAGACAAGGTCGGCCTGGGCGGATGCGTTCACCGCCCATACTCCCTGTATCTTAAAGATAGGCCAGCTTATGGCCTGATTGAAATCGGTAATGGATTGCACACTTCTTGGGCAGACGCCGCTGGCTGAAGGGTTCCCTGAAGAAGCCCCAGCAGAACGAAGCAGGGAAGGGGAAATCTGGCCCAGGCATTCATGGTTAATTTCACAGATCCACAGGGGAAAGTGGTAACCTTTGAAGTCTCCCCGCAAATCTCCATACCCTCAGGCCGGAGGAGTTCCGCCTTAGAACTTTCCGGAGAATCATCTTGAAAACTGGAATCCCTTTGGCTGATAAAGAGTTTATTTGAATTACAAATCATGTTGTCTGAGTCGGCTTTTCCAACCTGTTCCAGTGGCAGAGCCACAACTTTTTGGTCTCTGCCACTTTAAAAAAATGTGTAAAAATTCCCTTGCTCAGCCGCCTCGCTTCGCGGCGGAGAGAACAGAGTGGACCACAGAGCTATTCTCTTGACTGGTCTGTTTTGGGGCGGCGTGTTTGTGTATTTTTAGATCAGTCACAATAGGCCATTGTTCGGTTGTACACTGTACAGACCTGTGTGTTGCAGGTCACGCCCGAGGAGTCCTGATGGTGCAGGGTTTTTTAAAAAGTCGATACCCAAGACATTGGTGGTCATTTACGTAACTTTTACTTGCCAGCACTTAGCAGCTGACGGCGTGTTAATGCCGTGCGCTCCTCCCGTGTCCTGCACCCTATCGCCTGGGGCCGAGGAGGCCGCCGGAAACTGAGCCCGCAGCCCCTGCCTGTCGTAACCCATCGGCCCCCGCCGGGCCTGTTCTTGGATTCTCCCGGTCCGGCCCGCAGACAAGTGAGCCGGCTGCGCTCTCCGCGCGCGCCTAGGAACGGCTCGGAAGCGAGGTGGGCCCGGACGTGAGCGGGCGCTCTGCCGGCTCCGAGTAACGGGGCGCCGCCAGCTGTTCGCGGAGGCCCTCGGGGCCGGCCCCCTTCGCTTCTGGGGTTTGCGGAGCGGGCGG